AATGATGATGAATAAGTCATGCCTGTTGCGTAGAATTTTCCAGAATACAGTCCAATGGGTGGTGAAGTCAATTGTGCAGTCTCTTTTCTTCTTTTGATTCTCCTCAGGGTGATGCTTCAGGCACAGGGGCACAAGGGAAACATCTGTGTGCTACAGCTGGTGTGTGTGGCATTGGACACAATGTGGGCCAGGTCTCAGTCTTCCAGGGCTGGTTCCTGCCACCACAGCACTCACTCAGCGCCCACAGCACACTCTTCATCCACGACTGTGGCCTGTTGCTGGAAGTATAACGGTCTCTGGAGTGATAGCACCTGTTTGCTCTCACCCTCCCTCTTCATGACTGTATCTCCACCAGAAAGATCGTCCTCGTCTTTGTACCCTTATGGTCCTAGTATGTAGAACACAGCCTGACCTATAATGGGCATTCAGTGAACGTGAGCTGGATGAATTTTGCCATGACACAAAATCACAAGTGTTTTGCCCTAGACCACACTAACATGACAGGCTCTGAAGCCCTTGTTTTCTTTCTCACAGCTGACGCCATAGGGGGCTTTGCCCTTGCAGAGTTGTTGCTCCTGCACTGCCTCACCCCAGTGCAGAGCAGCAGTGTACTGGCCCTTCCCTGTTCCTGCTCTCCTGTGACCTGGCACCTGAGCCGTGGCACCCTGCAGACCTGGCCTCCATTTCTGTACCTGTGAATGAGCTTGTGTCACGTGGGACACCTGCGGAGAAGCCATTTTAAGGAAGACAGTGCTAATGAACTGTCCTCTCCAAAGGCTTACACAGTTATTGCGACTTGTGGTGCTTTCACAAGTGTGGGAAGTGATATGTGCCCTTCCTTTTTGGATACATGAAAGACAGCTGGCACCAATACTGTGGACTATCAGGCGTTTGACACTCACGGTCTTCCAAGTGACCACATGCCACTGCTCAGGGACCGGGAAGCAGTGAGTGGTGACAGTGATGTCTGAGGCAGGGCTAGGATCAGTGGTTCCAGCCTGGCCCTCTCCTCGCAGCCTGCAACTTCTTATATCCCTGTCCTGAGGAGGAAGGACAAGGCTTTGATGGGCAACTATGGAGGCTTAAGACCAAGGAGCCGTTTGTTTAATATATAGTTAGAGAAGAGATAGACGTTTATTTTAAATGGCTATTTCTCAGAAGGGTGCCACAGGATGAGGAGGGGACAGAGTTTAACGGTGCCATTAGCTCGGGACACGTGGACTAAAGCTGTTTCCTCTAATGTGTAATTGGCTGTTGTGTTAATCTCTACGTCCGTAGTCAAGGAAGTCACCATTATAGTTTTCACATGTGAGGGAAATCAGGCATGCCTTGTTTATGTTACTGCCATTTATAAAACATTTAAAGCAGCTATTCTGCTGAATAAACATTCAAGAGCCCAAAGGATAAGCATATCACTTAAACTTCTTAAGACTAAACTTTCTAAACCATTTCCTGCCAGAGGGACCCAACAGCAAAATTGCAAACTCTGCCCCGAGATGAGATAGGCCGAATTAGATTAAGCAGCTTACTGTTGACATGTCTATTGATCTGGGTTTCGTGCAGTTTCCTGTCTCTGCCAGCAGTCAGAGGGTTGTATACAATAACACAGTGGCCTGGTTTATGTGAAATTGGGGACTCCAAGCATCAATTACTCCAGGAAGGCAGTGGCACTGGGAGATAAGGTTAAGCTGCTTGCAGTGTTTAAGGAGCTAAAACCCAAGCAACATATTTGCTGTGTAAAATGTTGCTTATAAATTTGACAGTGTCCCGTTTGTAAAATTTCCAGAGATCACCCAGTGTTATTTTCTGTAGGTAGTCATACAAACAGCATTCTGAATGCGTACTGTCGAAGCGGTCCATCCCACTTGCTCAGTTTCATGCATGCTTCTTAACTATTTGTATATAGATTCTGACTTGGGTGTTGGGTATCGAGAACTTTGTGGTGCCATCTCAGACCACTGGCTGTGCCCAAAGGAAGAAATAAGCCAGCCAACAGATTTGCATATTTTATATCCAAATCAACTAGATTAAATCAACTATCTTGTATTTCTAATATTCATTCATTTTTATAAAATTCTAAATGCACCATCAGTGCCAAAAGTGTGGCAAACATAGCAAAGCAAATAAAAAAAACCACAAATGTCATCGTCTAATAATTGAGTTTTTAATACAAGTATTTTAGACATTTTTTAATATACCTTCTCTCAATATATACTCACTTCCATACCTACACCTCTAAACACTCATTTAACTATAAATTAATTTATTTTCATTTTCCTCCTCCTCCTCTTCATTATTACCATTATTTCTTTCCCAGGAAATACAACTTCCTTAGAAGATTATTCTTACCTCTTAGGTTCAAACATTTTGAAAGGACAGAAATTGAGCCTATGTTTTTATACTTCTGAAGGGACCAACTGAAAGGCATTTTTATAATCCAGAGTGTGACTTTTCAAAATTCTTGGTAGGTCAGCTCTTTGGGTCTGTTCATGCAAGTTTCTTAAGTTTCATGCTTAAATTGTGGCTCTTATTCCTACGAGATGTTCACAGAGCAAATTCCATGCTCTCTGGTGAAACATGTACTATGAATTGGATGAAAGGATAGATTTTCGAAAGTGACATTTCAGCTTCCCTGTCATGACATTTTATGTATTTTTCTTTTTCTTCTTTCTTTTTCTTTTTTTTTTTTTTT